ACAGCAGTTCCCTGCAGTACTTGCAGATCCATTCCGTCATTTCTGAGGACCCCACTTGAAAAACACCTGATTAAATCAGTGCATTGCTTCTAGATGAGTACCTGAGTCTTTACAATGCTGACACATGTTCTGGCACATCAGCTGTCAACCTTCCATTGATTCACAAGGGGAAGATTTGGGGAAGCCAGAAGTGTCTCCAGCTACTCCTGGCTAGAGAGCAGCACATATTTTGTCAGCTCCCTTTGGAGAACTGGGTATTTCTGAAGTCGCTGTTAATGACTCTGGGAGATTACACAACACACAAAGGTATGGGCTGACCCTGGTGTACAGCTTCATTAAAATAAGATTCAGATCTATCGACGCTATGAAATATTGCATTGTATGTTTCTCTTTATTTTGATCAGTCAATCTGTCTTGTGCTATAACATACCATGCCAGCTGGGAATCCAGACTTGTCATCTGCTTGAACATGGTTGATAAGAAAAAAATAACGTTATGGAGGTACTTTTCTATTTTTAATTTTTCATCTATATACAGTTTTCTGTACTCCATTAGCAGAAATAGCTGCAATGCTTAAGGTTAATGAAACCACAAAGGTCCAAACTGCCGTCCCCTTGGAGGGCAACATGCAAATTGTTAGAAAACATGTACATATATAATAAAAATTCAAAGTTGAATCTGTCTGTTGGTCCCTATAGAAGAGGAAAGTAGATGCATATGGAGTCTGGGTTTCATTTTATGCTTACAGTGAGCCTTTAAAAGACTGCTGCTGAACACATCCTCAGAATAGCAAGCAGCATTTACAACTTCATCCTCTAAAAATTTATATCACTTCTGCAGCATTAACCCTCTAGAATGCTACAGGGAATATGATCATTTCTACATTTGGATGATCACTGAAATAAATGGACAGTATTAAAGAATGCATGTTGCAATGATAAAACAGGTGTTTTGGCTAAAATCCTGAGCCACTGAATGAAATCATGTCTCCATTTGTTCTTAATGGATCTGGCATTTCACCTTCAGTGTCTACCCCTAAGTGATCCAAACAGTTTTGTCTGACCTTTGGCTGAGTCCAAGACCGTTACTCAGTTTCTTTACTTTCAACTCCATACAATGATTAAAATGCCATGGCAAAGTTTGTACTTCACAGCCTGTTTGACCAGAGTCTTGAAGTACAGGTGGTCTTTGGTTGACTGACGTGCATTGTACCTGTAGCATGGGCTATGTCTGACATCACTGTAGCAAACTAAAACAGAGCTTCAATGTATTCTCATAATTGTTTACAAGATACCATGAATTATTATTATTTTTCATTAAATTTGCCCGTGCAAGGTCTGCTGTATGTTTCATTTCAGCCCTTTAATTTAATGGATACAACAGGGCTTCACAAAAAAGGAGACTGTTGAGCTAAAGAGCTCCATCCTGGTTGTAAAATACCTAGTAAGCAGCGGAAAATAACTACAAACCTCATAACCACTAAGGATTATTTGTCTGTTCACAAGGAATGGGAAGAGGTAAAAAAGCCTCTTCCCATCTACAGCAAAAAGTGTTGCCATTGTATGGTACTGTATGTCATACTCAGATGTGTTTACTGAATTAAAGGACAGCTATTGCATGAAACAGCTCTTCAATGTACCTGGATGTAAAGCTAGAAAAATTTATTCTGATATGTTTCTATAAAAAAGAATCCTGAAACAGTGAAGGGAAGAACAATGTTTTCAGGTACAATAGCGTATGTAGAAAATTGCTCTGAATCTCCATAGGAAAAAGAAAAGTTTCAGATGAAATGATCAAAATCCCTGCATTAGCAGGGATTTTTCTTCCTGAGTCTGGGAGGAAACAGGCAGCAAGTAACTATATTCCTGCTTATTGCTAATGGTAAAGCCTGACAACAAGAAATCTCTGAACAAGAAAGTGCAGCAACAGTCAGTCACATTTTCATTCTGAGAATACTTGGACAGAAGACTTCATTGTTTGCTGACAAGGGAAAATGAGGAAATTCTCTTTGTAAAATTAAGTATGGTATGCTACCTGATTTGTTTCACTTTTGGATTTTTGCTTTTCTATTCTACAACTAAATATTTGCTCCAGACAACATGTGAACTGATTGTGTACTCAAATCTGGGAGGATTTAGTTATTACCATATTACACAGTAATATCAAGTCCTTTGTGACTTGATTGTGATTAGGAGAAGATTAGGAAATTTCTGATTAAATTTTGTTTGTTTTGTTTGGTTGGTTGGTTAGTTGGTTGTTGTGGAAAAGGAAGATATGCTGAGACCAAATATTTTCAAGCGTAAAATATATGTTCCAGTGAACAGTTCAGAAAACAGAAAGCTATGGTATATTTACTGCATACTTGCTCTGAGTCTGGGGTCGCCTGGATGTGCTTTTATGCAAAAGAAGGCGTAGGTAGAATAGACCCCAATAGCAAAGGGTTTGCAGAGCCTCTTGCTTCCATGTGACATGGCCAAAAGACTGGCAAGATACGTGCACCAGCTGCCAGGCTTTGACTCAGTCACAAGAGCCCTATGGCAGCAGGCTCTCTCTCAGTCCACTGAGAGAGAACATTTAAAAAAAAAAAAAAAAAGAATGAAGATCAGAAGAGTCTTTAGAATAGATATCAGTTCCACAAACCGCAATCAGAGAGGTCATCTACTTTGTGTTAAAATACTTTCCTGGAGATGGGAGGTATGTGATCATACCCTGTGTATCCCAGGCAACTCACATTTTTAGAATTGTCTGCTTATGCCAGTATGTCAGCCCATTGGATAACAAAATTACTGCATAAAGTAATTCTGCTGTAAATTGAGCTTTCTACTTTTCATCAAAGTTAAAAAATAACTGACAGATGGGGATTATAATAGCTCAGGAAAACCACTGTGCTAAAGCATCTAACAGTTTCCCAGACTGGACTACACATCTAGCTGTACTGGAGTTTAAATAAATTCATGATTGCTTGAACCCATCTGTACTCTAGATCCCGGTTCTCCTAGACTTGCAAATACTATTGAAAGTGGGGAACTAGGGTTGAAAGAAGTGTTCCCTGCTATCATGGATAATACAGCTATAGTCGGTAGGAATGCTGGATCCTTCATGTTGTGAAAATTTATATTAAAAAAAAGAAAAATTAGAATCATAATTACGTGTGCAAGAAAGTTTTGGCATAGTGTGAATAAGTTTCCCTCAAATTAAGAACATGCAAACTGTCTTCACAGACAATATCCTGAAGCCTTCAAAACTGTTTGAACGTTGCATTATTTTTTATGATTCATTCCTTTGAGAAATGACACATTTTCATATTTATTCAAAGGTTTCCAATGGTTTAATGCTGCTCTAAAACATGTAATGTCATTATGGCCATTATTAAGGCGATAAAAGAAAATGGCATGACCACATCATTGTTGTAGTGATTTCCCCATATATCTCCTGACCTTTCTATGTGTTAACGCTATTGCTGGGTTAAGACTATCCTATTGTAGTGTCAGAATCTATTTTGTAATCTCCCACTGGTTTGAATTTGATCCATTCAGTGGCAATATCAGAGGCATTAGGTGCTTCTTTATCATGAAGGATTATGGTTTCACAAGTACTGAAATAGTGAAATAATGGATCAAAGGAAGGCATTATTTATCTCGTTTGTTGGTAGTGTTGGTTTTTGCTGTTCATTATTTTTTGTGAATGTAACACTTCAACAGATAATTTCAGATAAATTATGTAGGAGAGAAAATGAAGCACACAATTGTTTCATTGGTTTTGAAACTTTGAAAGAAGTTTTACCATTTTAATTTTGTCTTCTGCAGATTTTAATGAGCACAATAGAATGGTTCCTTGGAAGGAAGAGTGGACAACTCAAGACTAGTGCCTGCTCTTTAATTTTACTCATACACTTTGCACCCTTACTACTTTTGGCAGGCTTGTTCAAATAGTGCAACCAAAGTACAAAAAATTGCAAAATCATAAAAAGATTGGCTGAGCAAAAAAGTGAAATCAGCATTGAATGAATGTAACATCACTTATACTACATGGTAGAGTATTCAATCACATCTCTTACAAGCAATTGATATTCTCAATAGCCTGGGCATAATGTTATCAAGGAAGTTAGAAGGATGTTAACATTTCATTAATCTTGCAATTGATTTTTTTCTGCATTCTTCACAACAAAATTCAAAACGTGACCTCTTATTCCACTGAATTAGTTCCAGAGCACTTGGCATTATCGACCTCTTAATGAAAATTAATGATGACTTTTTTGATTCAGTCTTTCAAGTAAGCACACCAAGCACATTTAAGATACAGACACAAATATTTCACTTAATTTAAATGAAATAATACACTGTTAAAGACCAAAATGTACATTAATGTATCATTAAATTAGCATATTTAAGCACATAGAATTCAGGATATTTAAACTGCATAATTGGGATCTGATGCTACAAAGATCTACGTTTGGCAATAATCCCAGACTTGGGAAAATAATGAATTTTACAAGTAAATGTATGCACATGTTTAGAGCATTCTAAGCCTTAAATTTATAGTGAAAATTTGACAAAAATGAAGTATTTTTACTATACGTGAGAAAGAACTGTATGGCTATTTGGATGGGTATTTCCTTGCTTTTCCTTTCTATTTTAAAGCTAGAAAACAATTTGGATTCTTCCAGTGACTTTTCTTCTGTGCTCACAAGCTGCCATCAGACAGCTGAATGGATTTCCTTCATACAGAGCCTCACACAAATATTTATGCACAAACTGAGTTCATTGTATGGGTATGGATCCCTTCTGTCTTGCATCCATGTAAATAAGGATTAACTCCACTTGGTGGAACATAAAAGATGAATGGTTTAATAACTGGAGAATAGGTAAAAGCTTGCTATTTTATCTAAACAATTTACCATTCCGGAGAAATTGTTTGAGGAATAATTCCTGGGCAATCATCTAAGCAATACGCAAGAGCAGCAAATAATATAATTTTCTTTTTTCCCTGTATTTCTTTAGACAACAAGGACTATGATGCATATCTATCTTATACCAAAGTGGATCCTGATCAGTGGAATCAAGAGACTGGAGAAGAAGAAAGATTTGCTCTTGAGATCTTACCAGATATGCTTGAAAAGCATTATGGATACAAGTTGTTCATACCAGACAGAGATTTGATTCCCACAGGAAGTAAGTCATGTCTTTATGTTTGTGTATTTTCTACACAACGTATGCTGTGGTTGCATATATTATTTAACTATTAATTCTATGCTTGTCCCTTTCGAATGTCATCCTAACTCTATCATCTTGTGGAATAAGATAAGCCACCAAATATGCTTGATGTACATTTCCTAGATAAGAGGATTATATTTTACTAAGTGCATTATATTCATTGAAGGTGAGGCAGTGCAGATAGGGCATGCATAGGTAATGGAAATTAATGAGATTAATATTTATTCACAGATTTTTTTGAGAGCCTTCACAACTAGGAATTAATAAAGAGGTTTTTATTTTCTATTCCTAACTGTTTCCCTGGAAATATATCCATCACACTAATATAAAAACAACTGAATAATTAATTATCACTATCTACCTATACCGAGACTCAGACAGGAAGAAAACAGTTGTCTTTGGGCTAAGGCAAGAGCTGAGAGAAGACATCTGCAGAGAGTAAATAAAAAACTGCTGGTGGTATCCACTATAGATAAACATGTAGTGGAGGCACTGGATCACTTTCAGAGATTGAAACTGAGAATTGATTCCAACTGAAATAAGTAGATATTTTTCGTATATATTTAAGGTATTCCAACCTATGCTCAGTAATATTTGTAAGTTGCAGTTCATAACTTCAGTTGTAGGCATTTATAAAACTACTAAGTTCAAAATATTTTATTGAATTTATAAGAAAGGATAAGTAAAACACAATCTTAATAATAAGCACATGGATATTTTCAAATCTACAGTATCCTAAACATTAATTTGCAGGACACAACTCTGTTTCTGTGAATGCATAGAAGGAAAAGAAGAATCTAGTGCATCAGTAGACCTTAGAATATCATTTGATTTTTAAGCTGACAATAAAACACAGCTTCTGCACAGTTGCCTATCTGGGTGACTTCTTTTTAGAAAATGGTGATGAATAAAATGATGATGGACACGCTTGTTTCAGTAAAGATATGGGCACAAATTGACAATTCGTCTACAAACACTACCAAAATGTAGCCCAATGGGAAATAAATATTTCACTGAATCATAGAATGTTTGAGGTTGGAAAGAACTTCTGGATGTCATCTGCACCAGCTGTCTTGTTCAAGCAGGATCATCCAGAACAGGTTATCCAAAAACCTTGTCTTGGCAAGCAAAGTTTACATATTTGAAAGTGATGTTTTGCAGCATTCAGGGAACTTTTCTGGGAGAAGGGAGTTTGCTTCTGTTGTTTCTCTCCAGCGTATGGGAATGAAATATTTTCTTGCCTTGATTTTTGAGCAATTGTCTTATTTTGTAGCCTACATTGAAGACGTGGCAAGATGTGTAGACCAAAGCAAGCGACTGATCATCGTCATGACTCCAAATTATGTAGTAAGAAGAGGCTGGAGCATCTTTGAACTGGAAACAAGGCTTCGGAACATGTTAGTCACAGGAGAAATTAAAGTGATACTGATTGAATGCAGTGAACTGCGAGGAGTTATGAACTATCAGGAGGTTGAGGCCCTGAAACATACCATCAAGCTCCTCACTGTCATTAAATGGCATGGACCAAAATGCAACAAGTTGAATTCCAAATTCTGGAAACGTTTACAGTACGAAATGCCTTTTAAGAGGACTGAACCCATCACACACGAGCAGGTTTTAGATGTCAGTGAGCAGGGGCCCTTTGGGGAACTGCAGACAGTCTCCGCAATTTCAATGGCTGCTGCCACCTCTACTGCTCTTGCCACTGCTCATCCAGATCTACGCTCCACCTTTCATAATACATATCATTCACAGATGCGCCAGAAACACTATTATCGAAGCTATGAATATGATGTACCTCCTACCGGCACCCTGCCGCTTACCTCAATAGGTAACCAGCATACCTACTGCAACATCCCTATGACACTTATAAACGGGCAGCGGCCACAGACAAAAACTAACAGGGAGCAGAATCCAGAAGAGGCTCACACAAACAGTGCGATACTGCCCCTCTTGCCACGGGAGACCAGTATATCAAGTGTCATTTGGTGACAGAAATGCAAGGGGCTGTCCATCCCCTTGAGTAGAAGCTGAGTCTGCAGTCCGGTGCCTGGAACTACATCCTCGACTGCTGCTGTTAAACATGCATTACAATCGATAATATATGAGGAAAAACAGGGTCTTGTACATACGTTTTTTGCAATTTCTTTGTAGCATCGGTCTTCCTGTTTTACCCATGTTCTCTTCCCATACACATTTTCGACTTTGTTTTATATGTCATTGGAATTTGTATATTTACATTTTTTTAATGAAGAGACTGCTGTATAGATAGGAAACTTTTTGGCTTCATTAGTATAGTTTTAGACTTTTTTTTGGTTCGTTTTTAACCTCTCTTGGGAATGCTTGGACAAAGCTATGTTGATATCAGATGCGCCATCCATTTTGTTGGCCTGCCTAGCCTGATTCCTGAAGGCCATGCCTGCTGCAGTTCACCTGTTTTGGGTAATATTTGTTCTTAGAATGACCCCATCCCTCACTGAGAGCCTCTGTTTCATTTCTTCTCCTGTAATGTGCATTGCTCCCTCCCTGCCCTTACAATGGCCCCATTTGGGGTAACACTACAGTCTGATCATCTAACATTTAACTTGGTAGAAACTTGTCAAACAGACTATACCCAATCTGTATCAGTTGCTTCACAGTAGTCACTACAGAGTGTGTAGAAAATAGAGATGGTTTGATTTTTGCTTTCTTGGGGTTTGATTTTTTTGTTTTTGTTTTAAGAATGAGTCAATTGTACCCCTTTTATAAATATAAAAGCAAGCCCTATTTTTAACACTTCCTGGAAAAGTATTAATGTGGTCGTGGATTTTATTTTTAAGCATTTGACTTTTTTCTTTCCCTCCTTTAAAAACCCTGCAAATAAGATCATTTCCAATTTTTAGGAAAGTAAGACAAGTGAGGCAATAGGCACCGAAGTGCAGTGAGTCCTGCTGATATTTACAGTGATGATTTCCAAACCAAAGGGGAATAAAAAGGCAGTATCTTAGATGGTTGCCATTATGTATTAAAGAAAGTATTATTTTCTGAAAAAGGAAGAGCAAAACATTATTTTGCTGTGGATTGCAGAGTCCCCTTGTATTTTAATGTTCAAAATTGTATTTGCTTTAAAATGATATATTCAAGATGAAAAAATATTATTTCATTTGGTTTTAGCTTGTAATGATAAGTAAAGCTTAATTTTAACATGATTTCAGTAAGAACTCAGGCAAAAAAGAAAAAAAAAAAGAAACATGAACACCAACAAATACAATTGTTTTCAGAATAAACTTTATTTATACAAAGTTAATATTTAAATAAGACTTTGAAGTATTAAAAACAATTTATTCACTTTAATGAATAAATAAATTAGTTTTATTTTTTATGTATGATTCTATCTTTGAGGAGTTGCAAATAATGTGTTTACTATGGTTGCTAGGGAAGAAACAAACCACTGTCTTTATATCTGGGCATCTTTAAGGCAAATGAAACAAGCGTCTTATATTTTAAATAATGGAAGAGTCCTTTCTGGTTTGAGAAAGAGCACAGAGCACTGTTGTAGCTGTACACGCTATTCAGGCCAAGCTGTCTGCCAGTCTCTGCTAGCAGAAGCAGAAGAGCAGAGGCAGAATTGCTGCTTGCAACACACTCTCATAGAGTCGTGGGTTTGATTGACTCTGGCAAAAATGTAGCTGGTAGCCTGGCAGACAAACCTGATCGTCTGTTTCTGCAATTAATTAGCTTTAGGAATTTTTACGGTAGCTGACTGATATTAGCCAATATAAGGGATGTGTGGGGTTTGTTCATCTTAATTGTCTCAAGGAGAAAAGTACAGCTTATAATATTTTGGTCTTCTTAATGAGAAGTAATGAGTAGAGAAGAGGTAAACTGCAGTTCGGGGGATGTTTGTGGGAGTAATCCAGAACTGACAGTGTGGGAGGATGTAACTATGATCGTGTTGTGAAAGTCAAGAAGTCTCAGTATGTGCATAACAAGCCAATAGAGCTTTGGGATGTGCACTGATTTTTGCTTGCTTTAAAATGTTCATTTCTCTGACAATTTGCTCAAATCCTTTTTTACAATCTATCATGGTGTCTCCCTCTGGACATGTGCCAAATGTCCACAAAATGGAAATGAAGCTGCCGGGCCAGATGAAATTCTAAAAGAGCTTTGCACTTTTGTTTTCTTCATAGTGTAAGAAAGCTATTATTTATTCACTCTTACAGACACCTGTCAGGCACTGATGGCATTTTTCTTCATTCAACTGAATGCCAAATGTACCAGTACCCTCTGAAAACAACCTTTCCCCCTCCCCCCCTTCATTTTCCTTCCCTCTTACATGCCCTGTAGAAAAGACTGGGATGTGGAATAAATGTAGAATGTAACTATCTGACCACAGTCATTTTTAGGCAGTGTTAAGTAGTTTGTTCCTTAGCCACACGGGGAATACTTTTCTGTTCTATTTTAATGCAAATTTAAGCACTTTGAATAGCATGATTCAGGGACTGATGGATACCATTTGATATTCACAGTACTTTTTTTAAAAAAGAGATTTTCTTTATAATACTTTTATTATAATATTAAAAAAAAATAGGAAGAAAGAAAGAAGGAAGGAAAGAAAGAGTGAGAGAAGGAAAGAAAAGAAGAAAGAAATGGAGAAGCTATCTATTACTTCAAAAACATTCCTTCTTAGTATTCCTCCTCTGTGAACAGTTCAGCTCTGTGTGGGAAACAGTGAAGGAAACTGCTGTGTGTTCAACATACTCTGTGTTTGACAAAAGTTCTATTGGAACAAAAAATAAAATGGAAAAAAATAATCTGTCATTGCCCTAGGGATTAGGCTCCATCCTTTATTGGTGAAGGTGTTCCAGTTTTGACCCTACAGTCTGAAGTGTGCATGCAATAGACACATTTAAGATTTAGCCATAAACAAATAGCACTTTATTTTTAAAACTGCACAGTGTGATGATTGGAGAAACTTTGGCTGGTCAAGGATTTGGGGTCTGTACATGGATTCTATGCACATGATTTACACAGATGTGGCGCTTTATAAGGCTCTGTATTATCAGAGTAATCCTTGCTGTGAAACTAAAGGACTCTGCTGTACAACCTATGTACAACGTATAAACCTAATCAGTTTATAGGTCCTGGCAGCACACACAGCTTGACATAAATGGAGAGCTGTATAAGATGAAGCTAATTATTTTGAAGACAAAGTGCATTGCTAGGTCTGATTCTGTTCTCAGTTGCAGCAGTATGATCTGAGAATAGATCTAATAAAGCTGAATGAGTATAAGATGAGTTTGTGTGAGAAAAGAAAATTGGAAAGGCAAAAAGAAAAGGAATTCACATTTGGAGGCTGTGACAAGCCGTGGTTGCAAATTGTCTTCTGAATTTTAGTATGGACCCAGTTCTCACCCGGCTGCAAACATCAAGAGCTTCCAATGTGTACTGGTTCAGAGCTAAATACTCTTATCTTCAGATGAAAACTACGATTTTTCTATTACTATACAGCTGTGAAAATTACATGTATGATATGTGATTAATGATAATCGACTTCAAAATAATTGGAAAGCCTGTTTTATCTGCTTGATTAAAATTTTTAAAAATTTACTTGAATATTGTGCATTAATGACATATAAATTATATATAGATCAGTGAGATTGTAGAAAACTGGCCTGATAAACAGAGTTCTTTCATTTTTAAATTAAAAACAGTATAGCTAGCAAGACTAAAAAGAATTTAATTAAGATCCAAAGAAGAAAAAAAAATAACAGCAGTAAAGTAAGACAAAAAATGGGATAAAGGCCAGTGGAGAATAAAGGTCAAAGTACCTGCCTCTTCCTTGACTGTATTGTGGCTATTTTTTGTCATACAATGCGCTGTACTCTGGCTGACCTACATAACGCAATTGGTATTTTTGGGGCCCATCCAGATTGATGAGCAACACAAATGTATCCCCATGTGCCTAATAGACTCCTGAATGCTTTGCACTTGCCAGTTGTCTAGCACAGAGAGTTTCTGTTGCATCCACTATTGTCATAACAGAGAGGATGGCAGAAATCTGACAGCACTAAAAACAATCTCTGTGGAAGGTTTAGTTTATTATCCATTGTAACTGTATGCCTTCAAACTCGCCTCCTATCTGATTTGCTGTTATTAGAACACTTTATAACCCATTTTTCAGATGAGCAAGAGATCAGTTTGGCTAGAATCAGAAAAACCTAAGCATTTTCACAGCAATAAATCTGCTTGTATAATGATTGCTTTTTTTTTTTTTTCCTATCAGTCGCAGCTCTTCACATCCTAAATAGCCCACTGAGTGGAGATTGAATGATGGACATTTGAAACATGATCTGTCATTTGAGATTCATTACAGGGTTTGTATATTGGACTTAGTACCAAACTGCCACTTCTGATGCCATTTTGCTGGGCTATTTCTTTTTGGCTCTGGCTATAGCCTCAAAGAAAATGTGTTGGCAGCCTTGTGTTCCTCTAGCTGGCCTTTGTTTGGAGCTGTTGCCCTGGGAAGTAAAGCTAATTTAAATGTTTCTGGTATCAAGAGCTTTCCTGTGCTATTTGTTTGTTTATATTCTGTTTGTGACATTTCTGATCTTTGCTCTGGAACAATAAGCACTGTAGGTGGGAGGTCAAAAGTCCATCAAGCTATGTAGTAGTCAAAGCATAAATTACAAAAGCAGGCCTGATAACTTGTTTGAAACATAAATTCTGCAGCTGATCATATTACTACAAATTAAGCACACTGATATATAGAACTGTTGAAGACAAGTGTTCTGTTTATTACTACAACTATCTTCAATTCAAGAGCATTCTTACATTAAAAAACCAATAACCTAGATAAGATAATTTCAGAAGCATTCAATAGTTAAAAATATATGTTTTGGTAGCGTATGAATAATATGATTCTCTAAGAACTAAATGGTATAGGAAGTAGGTAATCTTCTATTACTGAGCTTAAAGTAATTAGAAACACCTCTTTGCCTGGTCACTTGTATTAGGAAAAGAATCTGAAGTTAAGTTTCAGAGCCAAGAATTTGATGGGGATATTCTTTATATTATTTTACTAAGACATATCTCTTACAACCAAGGCATGACAGAATGAACGCAAAAACTACTCCAGAAATAAAATGGAT